AGCTCCTCGTTGGGTTCGACACTCTTACTTATCGAAAGAGGCTACAACTATCCTGTATACTTGCGGGTCATCAGCGTGCAATTCGCTATGTATCCCTCACTCTCGCCCCTAATCCAACGTAGACTACAAATAGACGCCCCCTCCTCCTTCATAGGATTAGTAAAGTACAATTAGACATACTAAGAGAGCTTTGCTCCTTGTATCTCCTCCTAGAGGAACAAGCCCTCCATCTTGGGAGAAGGATCTCTCAAGATCACAAGACCTCCTTCTTGGGAGAAGTATCTCATCATAGATCACAAGACCTCACCTCCTCGTGGATTTGAGAAGAATTACCCCTGCTACTATTTCGTCCTTGTTGTTCATGTATTTTTGTGGATCTCGTGGGTTTGCCAATTTAGTGGATGTGTAATTGGATCTTGTTTGAGTGTTTCCCTTGTGTTCCTTGAGTGTTCCTCCTTTTCCCCTTCAAGTTGTGAAAGATTGCATAGCCAAAAAAAGTTGTGAGATTGGGAAACCTAGGGTCCGCACCACACATCACGCTGCCTTTGCTACTTGGAGAGTCCCTGGTTTCGGAACTTGGGGCGTCTCAGTTCTCGGTTTGGGTTCCTTCTCAGGTCTTGAGCCACTGGGGTGCAATGTATGCCATCGTCGACGCTTCTGGCGCGTCTACTTGCACAAATTCAGTTAGGTCCTATCACTCACTTGTTATTTTCTCTACGCGATATGGGCGGGAAGGTATGTTGACCCAATTGATTTGGTGGTCGGTGTTGTGGTTGGATGTGTTTTGCATTTGTAGTGACGCGACCTGGTTGCTCTATGCCCCGTATTCTTGCCTTCTTGGCCGGAGATCAGGCAAGGATAGTTTCCTCGTTTTCATTTGTAGTAGGTGTGGTTCTAATCCTAGGGATTTGTGTGGTGTTGCTTGCCTTGTTGGCATTGTACTGGCCGTCTTGATTTTTTTATGAAATGATGATATACCCAAAAAAGCTTGAATTTGTATTTTTTTTCCTCGGTGGATTAGTGAACCAATTTTTTTAGGAGTGATTAGTGAACCGATTACTCGAGTAGCTTCGACTCTGGATGTAGCCACATGGATGGACCAGCCCCCCTTTGGCTGCCTTAAGGCAACCCCAATGCATTTGGGAGATGGTCAGGGTGGTTCTCAGTTGAATGATATTTGGAAGACCATTTGGGCCCTTGCTTTACCTAGGAAAGTGAAACATTTCATCTGGAAAACCTTAAAAGGAGTCGTCCCCTGCTTTGGAACCTTAGCTAATCGACATATTCTGTTAAGTGCACAGTGCCCACATTGTAGGATTGGTATGGAAGATGTCCAACATTGTCTCTTTGCGTGTTCCCGAGCGATGGAAGTTTGGTCAGAACATGGCCTTAAGGATGATATTTGTCAAGCTATTTCTAAAGATCGGTCAGGATCTGTAACTATGGAGATTCTATGCAGGGCTCAAGGTGCTTTGAACGAGCTCCCAAAGGCAGAGTTGATCGTGGTTTCAGCATGGTATATTTGGTGGCAACTCCGTCAGTTTGTGAGGGGGGGTAAGCATTCAATCCCATTATCCTACAACCACATCGATCAAAGTACTTTGCACTAATTTTATCCGAGCATCATCGCCCAAACTTCCGGTGAGTAAGAGGGAGCATTTGTGGCGGAAACCAGCAGCAGGAACTGTCAAGATAAATGTGGATGCATCCTTTTGTTCTGAAAACATGTCAGGAGCTACGGGAGCTATTGCTCGAGACGATAAAGGTGATGTTATTGCTGCTGCTAGATGGTTCATTCCCCATGTTAGCAGTGTGAATTCAGCAAAAATTCATGCAGTATACAACAGTATAATCATGGCACTCCAAATTGGTTGCAACTCAGTGGTTATTGAGTCTGATAGTACAAATGCAGTATTTTCAACCAAGGCGGTGATTTCTTTGGACCAGATGCTGCCACAGTACTGGAATGCAAACAATTAACAACATAGTTTACAATTTATCTATAACTAGACGCTGCCCTAGGCCTTGCCCTTGCCCCTGCCGTCGTCACTGTCGCCGGTGAGGTCGATGAAGGTTGGCGGTGGCCCTGCCCACCTGAACGTGCTCTGCCATGCCGCCAAGGCCGCCTCCTACGGCGCCTGTGCGACAATGACATTGCGGCGCGGCGGGCGCAGTCCCTCCTCGCGCGTCTATAGCATCTGCCGCTCGCCGTTGGCCCGCTCCTCCGCGAGCCGGTGCTGCTTCTAGCACTCCAGGTTGGCCGCCTCCTCCTCTGGTGTCGCGGCGTAGTGGACTGGGGGGCGCTCACCCACTCGTGGATCGCGCCGGTCCACGAGTAGGACTCCTCGGTCCAAGCAGGTGGTGGCGGCAACCGCTTACGCGTGGGTGTGGGCTCGGGCTCGGGCTTGGGCTCGATGGCAGGAAACGGCGGCGAGGCGTGGAGAGGAGCGTGGATGGAGTGCCCCGCTGCCGACAAGGTAAGGGCCTTCTCCAGGGCGTCCTACTGCGTGTCCTCCTCGAGCCAGCTCTCCTTGAGCGTGCGCTACAGGGCCGCCTCGAGCGCGACCTGGTACGCGGCCTCCGCATCCTCCTCCTTCGACAAGACCTTTGGGGGCGGCGGTGGAACGGCGTTGTTGACCTGCACACCGCGGCGTCGCTCCTACTCGTACTCCAACGCGAACCATCCCAGTTGGAAGAGTCTGGAGCGTACGCACGGAGCGAGCACTGCTCCGGTGAACCTCCTTGGCACACCCGCATCGAGCACGGCATCGCCGGAATTGGATGCGTTGCGGGTCTAGATGCCAGCTGTGTGATAGGATGACATCTGGATAGTGGAGAGGCTGTCAGTACTGCCAGTGCCACCACGCCTGGTGGACTGGGATGTACAGGCTCTCGCGTTCTCGTGGCGGCCCGCCGCGTCGAGCCGGCGGCGGAAGAGGAGGCGCGCAGGACGAGCTCCCGCCGGGGCAGAATTTGCCCTCGCCACTGAAGAAAGCCCTGGCACGGCGCTAGGGTTTGTGGTCACCGGAAAGGGAGCAAGCGTGGTCAAAGCATCTCCACTAGGCTCCCCAACAGCCCCCCAGGAGCACTTTTTTAGCGCCGGTTGTAAAAAAATGTCCCAGCCATGCACCCAGGACCTCGTTTTGAGCCGGATTTGACGAATGGTACGACCGGCGCGCCCACCCCACACCTAGCTCCCTGGGGGCAGCTGGGGACGCCGGCGTTTGCCTTTTGCATGCGCCCACCTGCCAGCGTCTCTCTCGTCCCTTTTCCTCCCTGGCCCACCCACGTGCTCCCCTCCACACACCCATCCCCTCCCTCTCTCTCTCGGCTGCAACTCCTCCCTTCTCCTTCTCCTTCTCTCGCCTCACCGCGCCCGGCACGCCGCCGCCCTCGCCTCGCCGCGCACAGGGACGACAGGATGAAGGAGCTCCGGGCCGGCTCTGCGCCTCCGCGTCCCCTGGCTCCGCTCGCCGGCGGTCTCCTTCGTCCCCCGCGCCCTCCGGTCCTTTCGGTGCAGCGGCAGCCTTGGGGTCAATCCGCCCCAAATCGGCGGCCGCACGCACGCCGTCACAGCCATGGCGACCTCCTTCGCGTTCGGCAATTCCGGTGGGGCGGGATCCACCTCATCCTCCCCCTTCTCCTTCTCCATCGCCCCATCCGCCTTCTCCTCCTTCCCCGCCACCGCGTTCGGCTCATCCCCCGCCCCCACATTCGGCTTCGGGGCCACTGGTTTCGGGTTCCAGCACGACCTCCAGCGACGCCAGAGAAGGTGCAGAGCCGGCTGCCGCTGCTGCCGCCGTCCTGGACGGGGAGGCGCAGCGGGAAGCGCGGGTCCGAAGGTGAATGGCGAGAAGAAGGAGGAGCAGAAGCAGGTGGCGAGGGAGAAGGAGATGTGGTGAATGAACGGTGGCGAGGTTGGGTGGAGAGAAGGAGGAGCAGGGCCATGCTGCCTTCACCTCCATGGCCGATCAGAGGAGAGACAGACGAGAGGGTGGGGGGACAACGAGTGGAACTTTTGACCCCAAGGCTAAAATTATCGCCGGCAGCCCCTAGGCGACGAAAAAAATGCCTTCTGGGGGCTCAACGGCTGAAGATGCTTTCAGATGTGAAAGAACGCTTTCATGTCCGTGTGGCTGTAAACCCGAGTTAAATTTGGCCCTGCGTCGAGACACCGAGCTGACGCGGTCACTTTGGCCGCGTTGCCGGGTGGCATCGCCCCCGCGCCCTCGCCCTCGCCCCTCGCCCCGTGAACAAACGCCGCCGAGCACGCACCAACCACCGAATAAACCCGTCTCGATCCATCCACCAGTCTTTCATTTATCTTTCTTCCTGTCAGTCCCACTCGCACTCCCACTCGCACCGGACGGTGTATATCTGGATCGCCCAAGCCCCGCATCCTCCTCGCGTTGACGCACGCAGCCGCGGCTACCCCAGGTCAGTGAGTCCGCGTCAGAGCTTCTTCATTGGCCGTGCTTTCCTTGATCCCGCTGCTCGTTTCGCTTGATTCTTCTTTCCTTGGCAATGCGCGCCCGGGGCCAGGAGAGCACCCCCATCGGCGGATCATCCCCCTCTTAATTTTCTCAGAATTCTTCCCTCCTTGTCCTTGAGACTGACCATGGAATCGTCCGGAAACTATCTTATCTGACGGGCTTGATTGATTGTGAAATGCTAGTAGTTTTAGAGCCTAATAAACAGCTCACTGATTGCTCTTTTGCCACTTGTATGGTGGTACGTATTGTATTGTAGAGCACAACAGGAAGACCAATCCATTCCTTTCCCCTCTACTAAGATGCAGCATCTTAATCTCCATTGTAGAGTAGTACTGTACTCGAATTTGACTAGTTCGCTTGTTGTGGACTTGTGATATTCAGCTAGCTTTGTTTTGATGCTTCATTTTGTGCCCTACATGTTTCCTGTTCCCATTCCTTGATTCGAATCATCTATAACCGGACCCTAACTCATTTTCTGGACAGGCAGGAACACTACTGAAGAAGGTGATGCTCACCGTCCACAGTTGCAGCAAAAAACAAATAGCATTGAGCGCAACAGCCTGCATACTGATGTTCTCCCTGCTCCTCTTCATTTTTTGTTCACTTCAGACCATATTCCTCAACGACAAACCTTTCGTCATCGCCACAGCATCTTCTAGATCATTGCATGAGATCGACTCCAATTCAAAGCCTATTAACGGGTAACTTCTGTTTTGCCTTTCTATAACCTCAGGAAAGTCTTCTTTTTCAGTCTAGTGTATGTGCAGCTGAATAAGTTGAAATAGGCTTCAAATTTTTTCATTGGAGGTTATTGCTAACCTGAGTGCCAGCAAGGTGGAAACTGGACAGCAGATGGAAGGCGGCACTCATAACATTACCAACGTGACTGAGAATGCGACATCTGGGTGGAGCATTGTGAAGGAGGAGCTGACGTTTTCAGCTGGAAGTGCACCTTTCAGTAGCTGCCATGCTTCCACCATTGTAGAGGTACTATATAGCTTCTGTATGCGACCAAGTTTGTAAAAAGAAATATTATAAATACTTATAGGTGAAATTTCTCTTGCTAGATTGGGAAAGACAACTTTTTGGTGGCTTATTTTGGTGGATCCAAGGAAGGTGCTCCGGATGTCAAAATCTGGTTGCAGAGATACAGTGTGGGTTCAATCTATCCAGGACACTTCAATTTTTTTGTCTATTAAATGAGATATCAGTTCTTCCTAAGAATCTTATATTTACATTTGTAGGATGGTCACTGGCATCCTCCAGAAGTTGCTGATGAGCAAGATGGGGTGCCCATGTGGAATCCTGTACTATTTCAGCTCCCCTCTCATGAGCTGCTGCTCTTCTACAAGATTGGTCAGGAAGTTCAGAAGTAAGAACTTTATTTTCCTTCTTTGGCGTTTGATGTTGGATTGAACTGGCAAGAGAACCGCGGGATAGAGCAGTTAGATGAAGCCAAATGATATTTTTTTATAGGATTGTATTTGGTGACTTTGTGATAAACTCTACTTATTCAGGTGGAGTGGTGCCATGAAAAGATCGCTGGATGGCGGCATATCCTGGTCAGAGAGAGAGCAGCTACCGCCTGGTATTCTTGGCCCTATTAAGAACAAGGCATGTCTAAATTTGTGGTTTTTTCTATCTTGCATAGTTCTCTATAACAGTATGCAGTGTGCACATTTAACAGCAGGTTTGCTATTGATCGTTAACAAGTCAGTAGTAGTTTAGTGCTTTTGTGGCATTTGTCAGCATGACGCCATGTTTTATTGAGTAAATTGGTTCCTAATGACAACTTTTTCAATGTAGCCTTTCCTGCTTGAAGATGGTCGCCTACTATGTGGGTCCTCAGTAGAAAGCTGGAACTCTTGGGGTGCATGGCTGGAGGTAACTACTATGTTCCAGTGTCTCATTTTTTATATAGAAAAACATATGCTCCAAGCTGTGACAATTTATATGTATCGGAGGGAGACTTACATCAAGCGTTTATCACATCCTGTATTGCGGTTCTAACGAGTCCTCTTAACAACTTATAGGTCACAAAAGATGGTGGCAGGACATGGCGGAAGCACGGTCCTATATACATAGAAGGTGAAACACTTGGGGTGATTCAGCCAGTTCCATACCAAACTGCCAATGGGACAATTCGGATGCTTTTGCGATCTTTTGAGACAATTGGCCGTGTCTGCCTGGCCGATTCTGCCGATGGTGGTGTGACATGGAGTTACGCGCATAAGACTGAGCTTCCTAATCCAAATTCTGGTTTGTTCTTAACCGTTTGGCTAAATTAGCTTTCTCTTTGCTTCACTACCCTTTTGTTGTATTGGAAAATGTCTTACTGCCCTCCACAGATCATGTCTGATGGGAGCACATCAATAAATAGTTTATGTACAGTGTTTGATAATTCTCTGTTTTCTCCACTGGACTTTACACCTCAAGGGATCGATGGAGTTAAGATGAAGGATGGAAGAGTACTAGTTGCTTACAACACTTTCTCCAGGGGCACACTTAAGATTGCAGTCTCCATGGATGACGGTGATTCATGGAACGAAGTAATGACACTAGAGGACACCAAAGGTATGGAGTTCTCATATCCTGCGGTAATCCAGACCATGGATGAGCTCGTACATATTACATACACATACAACCGGACGCAGATTAAGGTAATTTCTGTCATGAAAAAACTGTAATCTTATTTTGTACTCCCTCCGTCCCAAAATATAAGAACGTTTTTAACACTAGCATAGTGTCAAAAACGTTCTTATATTCTGGGACAGAGGGAGTACTTAGCAACAGTACTTCAGTCAGTTGGTGCATTTTCTTAAGATTATATTTCAATTCTTTGCAGCATGTCGTTCTTCGGCATAGTGAGACATGAAATTGTAAGTCTGTGACTACTGGGAGGCTCATGGTAGCAATCCAAGAAACTTCAATTCATCCCCGCCTACTTGGTGTGACCATTGCATCAGTTTGTGTTTACTCATAAAATAGTGCAACCCGATAAATAATTTTACAGGCTGATCATAATAAATGTAATAGTATGAACAAGTGCATATGTGATCGGCGATTTCGCATAAGGCGTTCCTTATATGGCAGTTATTTCCCTTCATTCTTTGTTGTGTGAACCAAACTACATTGTTCCTTTCCCCCCTCAAACCATTGTTCTCTCGGTCATGTTTGTCACTGTGATGCAACTTCCAACGAACAAAGTACTACTCCCTCCGTTCCTAAATATTTGTCTTTCTAGAGATTTCAACAAGTGACTACATACGAAGTAAAATGAGTGAATCTACATTCTAAAATATGTCTACATACATCCGTATCTTGTAGTCCATTTGAATGTCTAGAAAGACAAATATTTAGGAACGGCGGGAGTAACTATTATCACCATAAAGCAGTTTCGATATAATGATATATTTGTTACTTTGTGAGAATCCCTGTGTACATAATGGTGGGCAGAACATGTGGATGATATGTTTGGTTGATGTTCTATTTGGGATTATATGTTCAGTATGACAATGAACTATTTGGGAGGATCTGATGTTTATTTTGTCTATTTTACGCAAGTTTTGTTTGAATTTTTACTTAAAATTATGAATTGAAATATTATTGAATTATGTGTGGTTCAAACATAAAATTTAATTATTACTCTCTCTTTTCAAAAATATAATGTGGATTATTTTTCTGAAAAGTCAAAACTTATCTATGTTTGACTAAGTTTATTTAAAAAAATCATATCCAAAAATACCAAAACAGTATCCATAGATTCATCATAAATATATTTTTATAATTTATTTATCTGTATTATAGATGTTGCCATTTTTTCTATAAATTTGTTCAAACATATAATTGTTTGGTTTTTAAAATATACCTTATATTTTGGAACAGAGGGACTACGATGTGAAATTGGAAGTGAAATCAAGTTTGCATGCACAAAGAGAAAATAAGAGAAAATATTTATATGGAGAGCAATTTAGTGAGTTTAAGGAAATAGTGCACAATAAAAGTGTTAGATGATTTTAGAGGGCTATATAACCATTATAGATGTTGCCTTATTAGAAAGTCTATTAGAGTTGCTATTAACCTTCAGAACATTTCAGTTTCTGTTTAGAGGCACAACTGAAATAGTTCTAAGAAAATCAAGGAATGTATTTGGGTTAATCAAGGAGGAGGTTGTATTGTTTTTAATTTGTTGAGCATGTGTGTATGAGAGACCAAGGATGGGCTCGGCTCCTTACCAGGGGCGGGAGCATGGTGCCCGGCCCAAATTCAAATTATATTGGCTCCTAACCCAGGGGCGGGAGCATGGTGCCCGGCCCAAATTCAAATCATATTGGGTGGAATTTGCTATTTTTTTAAAAGGAGGATTACCCCCCGGCCTCTGCATCTTCATCTGGAAGATGCATGCAGCCACTTTATTAATTATTCATAGACTTTACGAAGTAATACATCAATATGTCTGAAACCACCGTCTTGGCAACATTTGTTGTTACTCCTATACATTGATGGAAGGGTGCCCAAAGAGTTACACGAATACCCAGACCTCTCACCTAAGCCTAGCATCTAAAGCCGGAGGCCCCGACCAAGCCACATGCCAGCCTCTGGGGCAAAAACCGGTTCGATGCACTCTCATAGGTCGTCGCCGCCGTCTTCCATCGATCCATCATCAGAGCATATACTAACGCATCGACCTTGTCAGGCCTGCTGTCGACGTCACCACGGCACCAGACAGCACCTCCAGCATATGTGTCGGGGATATACCCCGCGGTACAACCTGTCCTAAAGTATGACCCGGCCGGCACTTGGCGCCTCACCGGTAACCCGCCCGGACTTAGCGGCTCGTGAGAGGGCCGGCTCACAGAGAGTCCTGGACGACCGGCTCCCGGAGAAGGTCCAAGAAGAGCAAGACCTGGCAAGGGAAGCAAGACCCAGACTTGTACCCGGTTTGTAATAGTGAATAGACTAGTCCTAATCCTACTAGGACTCTACATGTAAGCCAGCCCCTTCAACTTATATAAGGAGGGCAAAGCACCCCAAGAGGGAGAAGTTTGAGACAGACAAGTCTTAGACAAGATCAAATTAGATGCTCTCAAGATAGAGGTAGCGAAACACCGTCCTTGTAATCGATATCATCATCATCAATATCAATCAAGCAGGATGTAGGCTTTTACTGTTGGGAATCGCATGGAAAACAAAAGAAATTCTACACACACGCAATGATCTATCCATGGGGATACATAGCAATGAGGGGGGGAGAGTGTGTCTATGTACCCTCGTAGACCATAAGCGGAAGCGTTTCACAACGCGGTTGATGTAGTCGAACTTTCTTCGCACTCCAACTGATCTAGTACCGAATGCACGGCACCTCCGCATTCTGCACACGTTCAGCTCGGTGACGTCCTCCGCCTTCTTGATCCAGCAAGACGGCGAGGTAATAGATGAGTTCCGGCGGCATGACGGCGTGGTGATGGTGATGATGATGTGATCTCCGCAGGGCTTCGCCTAAGCACTATGAAAATATGACTGAGGGAGCAAACGGTGGACGGGGGCGCCGCACAAAGCTAAGACAATGTTGTGTCTTTGTGTGGCGCCTCCTCCCCATATATATATATATAGGTGGGAGGGAGGGAGGAGCAGCCAAAGGAGGCACCCAAGTAGGAGGAATCCTACTTGGGGTCCCTCCCGAGTCGCGCCCCCTCTTTCCTTATTTGGAGTGCGGGGAAAGGCAGGGGAGGGTGGTGCCCCCTTTCCTTTCTCCCATGAGAGGGAAAGGTAGCAGGGGCTATCCCTCCCCCTTTTCATTCCCTAGGGATGGCCAAACAAGGGAGGGGGCGCACCAGCCTCCTTGTGGGCTGGTCTGTCCCCTCCTTTGGCCCATAAGTCCCATAAGGGGTGCCCGGAACCCCTTCCGGTGACGCGATTCATTCCCGGTACGTCCCCGAACACTTCCGGTGTCTAAATACCATCGTCCTATATATATATATATATATATGTCAATCTTTACCTCTCGACCATTTCGAGACTCCTTGTCATGTCCGTGATCTCATCCGAAACTCCGAACAACATTCGGTCACCAAAATATATAACTCATATAACACCATATCGTCAACGAACGTTAAGCGTGCGGACCCTACGGGTTCGAGAACTATGTAGACATGACCAAGACACCTCTTCGGTCAATGACCAATAGCGGAACCTGGATGCCCATATTGGCTCCTACATATTCTACGAAGATCTTTACCGATCGAACCGTTATGACAACATACGTAATTCCCTTTGTCCATCGGTATGTTACTTGCCCGAGATTCGATCGTCGGTATCTTCATACCTAGTTCAATCTCATTACCGGCAAGTCTCTTTACTCATTCTGTAATACATCACCTCGTGACTAACTCCTTAGCCATTTGCTTGCAAGCTTATGATGTGTATTACTCTGAGGGCCCAGAGATACCTCTCTGATACTCGGAATGACAAATCCTAATCTCGATCTATGCCAACTCAACAAACACCTTTGGAGATACCTGTAGAGCATCTTTATGATCACCCAGTTACGTTGTGACGTTTGATAGCACACAAGATATTCCTCCGATATCCGGGAGTTGCATAATCTCATAGTCGAAGGAATATGTATTTGACATGAAGAAAGCAATAACAATAAACTAAACGATCATTATGTGAAGCTAACGGATGAGTCTTGTCCATCACATTATTCTCCTAATGATGTGATCCCATTATCAAATGACAACACATGTCTATGGTTAGGAAACCTTAACCATCTTTGATCAACGAGCTAGTCTAGTAGAGGCTTACTAGGGACACGGTATTTGTTTATGTATTCACACATGTATTTAAGTTTTCGATCAATACAATTCTAGCATAAATAATAAACCTTTATCATGATTGAGTAAATATAATAATAACCAATTTATTATTGCCTCGAGGGCATATTTCCATCAGTCTCCCAGTTGCACTAGAGTCAGTAATCTAGTTCACATCGCCATGTGATTAACACCCATAGTTCACATCGCTATGTGACCAACACCCAAAGAGTTTGCTAGAGTCAATAATCTAGTTCACATCGCCATGTGATTAACATCCAAAGAGTACTAAGGTGTGATCATGTTTTGCTTGTGAGATAGGTTTAGTCAACGGTTCTGTCACATTCAGATCCCTATGTATTTTGCAAATTTCTATGTCTATAATACTCTACATGGAGCTACTCTAGCTAATTGCTCTCAATTTCAATATGTATCCAGATTGGTACTCATAGTCATCCGGATCGGTGTCAAAGCTTGCATCGACGTAACTCTTTACGACGAACTCTTTATCACCTCCATTACCGAGAAACATTTCTTTAGTCCTCTTTAGGTACCTAAGGATAATTTTGACCGATGTCTAGTGATCTACTCCTAGATCACTATTATACCCCCTTGCCAAACTCATGGCAAGGCACCCAACAGGTCTGGTACACAGCATGGCATACTTTATAGAACCTATGACTGAGGCATAGGGAATGACTTTCATTCTCTATATATATTCTGCCGTGGTCGGGGTTTGAGTCTTACTCAACTTCACACCTTGTAACACAGGCAAGAACCCTTTCTTTGACTAATCCATTTTGAACTTCTTCAAAACTTTATCAAGGTATGTGCTTTGTGGAAGTCCTATCAAGCGTCTTGATCTATCTCTATAGATCTTGATGCTCAATATATAAGCAGCTTCACCGAGGTATTTCATTGAAAATTTCTTATTCAAGTATTCTTTTATGCTATCCAGAAATTCTATATCATTTCCGATCAACAATATGTCAACCACATATAATATCAGAAATGCTACAGAGCTCCCACTCACTTTCTTGTAAATACAGGCTTCATCATA